AATATAATATAATATAATATAATGTAGTGTAATGTAATATAATGTAATGTAATATAATATAATATAATATAATATAATATAATATAATGTAATGTAATGTAATGTAATGTAATATAATATAATATAATAATAAATCAGCCTTCTGAGAACATGGAGTCAGAGTCATCATTCCTGCCCTCACTGGGGCATTTCCCAGCAAATACAACTGTAGGTGGAAGGGAATGAAAACTTCTGGATTCTGCCTTATCCTGATGTTTGGAGTGTTTGCTGCGCCCATCAAAGCTCACCCTGAGCTGTGGGACCACAGGGATTCTCCAGGGGGAATTTGTGGAATTCCTGCTGCAACATGGGGGGAAAGGGAAGGAGGAAATAAAAGCTAAAACATCTTTTTTGTCCCACCACCTCCATTCTCCAAGGCCATGCATCGTCTTGGAATTATTCCATATTATCACAGGCAGAGAGCACAAGGGGGATTTGAACTAGAAGGGGATTTAGATGGGATATTGGGAAGAATTCCTTCCCTGTGAGCATGGGGAGGGCTTGGCACAGGCTGCCCAGAGGAGCTGGGAAAGAGTTCCTCATCCAAGGCCAGGTGGGACAGGGTTGGAGCAACCTGGGACAGTGGCAGGTGTCTCTCCCAGGGGTGGAACAGGATGGGATTTAAGGTTCTTTCCAACCCAAACCATTCCATGATTCTGTGATGGAGAGATCAGAGTCTGATCCCCAGCACTTCTGGGTGAAGAGCAGAGAGTGGGAGCAGGGCTTTTCCACCCTGGATCTACACAATCCATACACAAACACAGGGCCCAACACCTCTCATTTGAAGGCTCAAAAAAAATTTTAAAAATCCACCTTTTCTCTCAGAAGGAGCTGCTGCTCTGGAATTTAATCCCTTTTCCAGGTGAACACTGCACACACAGGGGGATGTGTCCTTCCCCTTCCTCCCTGGGGGGATCCTCCTGCCAGCACCACCCCAAACCCCCCAAATCCCAGATGCCAGCAGCCCCAGCTCTGCCTCTGTGTCCCTGCTCCTCGTCACACCTTGGCTCCCTGTCAGCATTCCAGAGCCTGGAAAGGAGCCAGGGGCTGCTGGAGCTCAAGCTGTCAGCCCTGCTCTCCCTAAATCCTCGGCAGAATCCTTCAAAGAGCCCCCTGCACTCATCCCTGACAGCTCCTTCCTCTGCAGAGCCACGGGCTCAGCTGTTCCTGCAGCCTCTTTTTTCCAAGAGAAATCACTCCCTCTGTTATTCCAGCTGATTTCTGCCACATTTCAGGCTCCTGCTCCTCCAAAAGCTTTTCCTTGCATTGCTTCCAACTGGGAGAAGTGCTGCACTTGCACTCGGCCCTGCCTCTGTGAATCCAGCTGGCTGCAATCCCTTGGGATTGGTGGCATTTTGCTAAGGGCTGTCCCTTCCTGTCCCATCCCAGCTCTGCACTGAGCCTGCAGCAGCCACAATCCTTTGTACTCCCAATTTCTTGGCCATGGAATCCCTGTCACAGCCCAGGTGACTCCTGCTCCTCTCTCCTGATCCCAAGGTTTTAGAAGGAAGCAGTGACTCAGGCTCAGGGCTCTTTCTCCTCCTGCTCCATCCTGAATTCTGCAGCTTTTCCAACATTTCCTTCCCGCTGCCTGCTGGGATCCTGCTGGGATCCTGGATGCTGAGAATTTTCAACTTTCTGTGCTGACAGGACTCACAAGAGAACATTTGACCTAAGAAACTTCCAAAATTAATTCATAAAACTGAGATTATGGATGTGTAATTAGTTAGAAGTGCGTGATATCACAGAGTAGAAAACTTAGAGTTTTACAATACAGAAATATAAATAAAAAGCAAGGCAGAAGTTTTAAGGCAGAGACAGCTTGTTCTTCTTTACCTTCTTCCCTCTTCTCCCTGGGTTTGGGTGGTATTTTGTAATTAGAAAAATCCACATTACAAGCTTCAAAAAATCAGTTATTAAGTTAAAAGGGGAAATATTTTAAGTGTCATTTTTAATTAGATAGTTATTCTTGAAAGAATAGTTAGCCATTTTGTGCCTTACTAATAAAAAGCTACAAAAGTCAGAGTTGTAAGATTATTTCAGTGATAAAAAATAATAAACATTTAAGAGCAAACATGAACTACAAACTCAAATTCCTTCAATCCCAAGCTCCAGAACCCACAGGATCTGCAGCAGCACCATCAAATGTCCCTCTGCTGTCCCTGAGTGACAGCCCCAAGTGACATTAAATCCACCCCAGAAGGCAGAGGTCAGGCTTTAACCCCATCACTGCCACTTCCCTGCCACTGGTGAGGATCCAAAGGTGGGGACATCATTTCCCAGCCCAAATCACACTGGGAATTATCAGCATTGCCTTCACCCCATGCAGAACTCCACTGGAAGGGAAATGCAGCGTGAGAGATCTGGGGTTGGTGTTTGGGCTGATCCTGAGCTGGATTTGAACTCATTCTGGGCTGAATTTTACTGATTTGGAGCTGCATTTCATTGATTCTGAGCTGTATTTTATTGAGCTACATTTGAACTTATTCTGATTTGAATTTTACTGATTTGCAGCTGTATTTTAGTGATTTGGAGCTGTATTTATTTGATTCTGAGCTGTGTTTTATTGTGCTGAATTTTACTGATTTGGAGCTGTATTTTACTGATTCTGAGCTGTATTTAATGGATTCTGAGCTGTATTTTATTGTGCTACATTTGAACTTATTCTGAATTGAATTTTACTGATTTTGGAGCTGTATTGAATTGATTCTGAGCTGTATTTTATTGTGCTGCATTTGAATTGATTCCAAGCTGCATTTAATTGACTCTAAGCTGAATTTTACTGATTTTGAGCCATATTTTACTGATTATGAGCTGCATTTTATTGAGCTACATTTGAACTTATTCTGAATTGAATTTTACTGATTTGGAACTGTATTTAATTGATTCTGAGCTGTATTTAATGGATTCTGAGCTGTATTTTATTGAGCCACATTTGAACTTATTCTGAATTGAATTTTACTGATTTGCAGCTGTATTTTAGTGATTTGGAGCTGTATTTATTTGATTCTGAGCTGTGTTTTATTGTGCTGAATTTTACTGATTTGGAGCTGCATTTAACTGATTCTGAGCTGTATTTATTGTGCTGCATTTGAACTGATTCCAAGCTGCATTTAATTGATTCTAAGCTGAATTTTACTGATTTTGAGCCATATTTTACTGATTCTGAGCTGTATTTCACTGATTCTGAGTTACATTTAATGGATTCTGAGCTGTATTTTATTGAGCTACATTTGAACTTATTCTGAATTGAATTTTACTGATTTGGAGCTGCATTTCACTGATTCTGAGCAGCATTTAATTGATTCTGAGCTGAATTTTACTGATTTCGAGCTGGTTTTAACTGATTTTAGCTGAATTTTACTGAGCTGCATTTGAATTGACTCTGCTTTGAATTTTACTGATTTGGAGCTGAATTTAAGTGATTCTGAATTGCACTTAATTGATTCTGAGTTGAATTTTATTGATTCTGAGCTGAATTTGATCTGATTTTGAGCTGGTTTTAACTGATTCTGAGCTGCATTTTACTGACTATGAGCTGAATTTTACTGAGCTGCATTTGAACTTATTCTGAGTTGGATTTTACTGATTTGGAGCTGTATTTTCCTGATTCTGAGCTGCATTTTACTGATTCAGAGCTGAGTTTGAACTGGTTTGAACTGATTCTGAACTGGTTTTAACTGATTTTAACTGCATTTTACTGAGCTGCATTTAATTGATTCTGAGCTGCATTTTGGTGATTCTGAGCTGAATTTGAGCTGATTTTGAGCTGGTTTAAACCGACTGGGCACTGTTTTAACCAAGATTCACCACTTTGGCCTCCTCCAGCCCCAGCACCCCGCAATGGTCACCTCTATACTGAAGTAGCCTCTGTCCACGTAGTGCCCTGATTTTAACTGATTCTGAACTGGTTTGAACTGATTCTGAACTGGTTTTAGCTGATTTTAACTGCATTTTACTGAACTGCATTTTACTGATTCTGAGCTGCACTTGAACTGATTCTGAGCTGTATTTTACTGATTCTGAGCTGAATTTGAACTGGTTTTAACTGGTTTGAACTGATTCTGAACTGGTTTGAACTGATTTTAGCTGTATTTTACTGAGCTGCATTTTAGTGATTCTGAGCTGCATTTTAGTCGTTCTGAACTGAATTTGAACTGGTTTTAACTGGTTCTGAACTGGTTTTAACTGATTTTAACTGCATTTTACAGAGCTGCATTTAATCGATTCTGAGCTCCATTTTAGTGATTCTGAGCTGTATTTTAGTGATTCTGAGCTGCATTTGAACTGGTTTTAACTGATTTTAACTGCATTTTACTGAGCTGCATTTAATCGATTCTGAGCTCCATTTTAGTGATTCTGAGCTGCATTTTACTGATTCTGAGCCGAATTTGAGCTGATTTCAACCAAGATTCACCACTTTGGCCTCCTCCAGCCCCAGCACCCCCCAGTGGTCACCTCTATACTGAAGTAGCCTCTGTCCACGTAGTGCCCTGATTTTAACTGATTCTGAACTGGTTTGAACTGATTCTGAACTGGTTTTAGCTGATTTTAACTGCATTTTACTGAACTGCATTTTAGTGATTCTGAGCTGAATTTGAACTGGTTTTACCTGGTTTTAACTGATTTTAACTGCATTTTATCGAGCTGATAACTGATAAACTGCATTTTATCGAGTGCCCTGATTTTAACTGATTCTGAACTGGTTTGAACTGATTCTGAACTGGTTTTAGCTGATTTTAACTGCATTTTACTGAACTGCATTTTAGTGATTCTGAGCTGCATTTGAACTGGTTTTAACTGATTTTAACTGCATTTTACTGAGCTGCATTTAATCGATTCTGAGCTCCATTTTAGTGATTCTGAGCTGCATTTTACTGATTCTGAGCCGAATTTGAGCTGGTTTTAACCAAGATTCACCACTTTGGCCTCCTCCAGCCCCAGCACCCCCCAATGGTCACCTCTATACTGAAGTAGCCTCTGTCCACGTAGTCCCCCAGGAAGAGGTAGCGGGTGTTATTGGGTGATCCTCCCACTTCAAAGAGCTTCATCAGGTCAAAGAACTGCCCATGGATGTCACCACACACTGGGGGAGCAAGAACAGCACAAAAGAGGGACAGAATTACCACGCTAAGAAAAGCAAGGTCACGACAGCAGCAAAATTTTCTCTTGTGAGAGCTGTGCAGAGTGAAAAAAACCTTCAGGTGGAAGGAACAGGGCAAAAAAAAAACCTGCTGGGGTTATCCAGGTTGTTATTGAGGAATTGAGCCATGAGCTCTAGGGGAATATGGGTCTCCTCTCCAGGTCTCATAAGCTTTTGGAGATTTATTTCACATCCAGGATAGCTCAGCTGCCTCAGAAGGCAAAAAATCAGCAGGATGGCTTCTGTGGCAGCGTTGGAAACAAAAAGGTTTTAATAAAAGGCAAAATAACAAAACTCTGCATTTACAGAGAAAAACTGAGGTCCTTGCCCCTGGTAAAACACCTCACAAAAGCAATTAGTTTCTTTGTTCTCTTCTTTTTCTAGAAAATTGCACAGGGGGAATTTTTTGGCTTCTGTCCACCTTAAGTTTGAGGTGAAATCCCCCAGGTCCTATGAGGCATCTTTTCACCTAACTAAGGAGAGAAAATTTTAAGTTTATTCCCTTTTTAAGAGGACAAAAGATAGTTTTGTCACTGCCTCAACAGGGAGCACATTCCTATGTGAAAAACACCAGTTACTTGTTTTTAAAAATTTAAAAGTTGAATAGTAATAAAATGGTTATAAAAATAGGAATATAATTCGAGTAATAAAAATTTGAACAATTTGAATTAGGACAATATGAGACAATAAGAACAAAGAGTTAAGAAGTCTGGGTACCTTTTTCTGGGTAAAATAAGCCCAAGAAGGACCCAGGTTAACAGAGGATTAACCCTTAAAAGCAACAGCCTGTTGCATATTCATACACCTCATACATGATGCAAAAATTCCATTCAAACACAGGATTCTGTCTGGGCAGTGTCAGCTTCTTCCTCTGGATCCTGATATGAGCAAGGTGGGAAGAAGTTCGAGGTGGGAAGAAGTTCAAGGTGGGAAGAAGTTCATTTCTTCTGATAATGGAGCAATAAATTCTCTTTCTCTGAAAGATTGAGGTGTCCTGTGGCTGCTATTTTGCTGTGAGTACCTCACCCCTTTCTTTAAAAAAACATCCCACATCCATAGTTTCTATTCTAACTACAAAAACTCCATTTTAACGACAAAACTACATTTCCCATCCTATTAAAATGTTAACACACAACATAACATACAAATAGCAAATATCTGTGTAGAGCCACATTGTTGAAAGCGAAGGGAGCCAACCCATCTTTGTTGACCAGCATCGACTCCAATTTACTGATCAAATCAGCCACCTTTTATAACAGTGTTAATTAACTTCATGCATATTGCAAAGTTCGAGCTCACCACAGGCTACAGAGAAAACTCTAACCCCTCCTTTTGTTTACAATACCAAGATTTGTGTTCTCAAAACTTACTTTTACTTTCCCAAAACATGCCAAAGATAGAATGTTCACCTGTTATGAGAAAACCGCCTGGTATGAAAGGTTCTCAAGGCCTCCATGTTTGTCACTTTTGCCTTCCCATAGCTTATCCAAGGACAAGATATTTACTTGTTATTAAAAACAACCTGAGAACTTCTGCTGTTTACATAAACATGCCTGAGAATCTTGTTGTTTACAGAAACAGGCTGTGAGAATTAGCTGCTTACAGCAGCCTTTTACTTCTCCATCAGCTGTATTTTTTCATGGCCTTTTTTCCTTCAAGCCATGTCTGAGCAAAAATCTCCAACACCACATAATCTGCACTTTTTTCACACCCAGCAGCTCTGACCTGTGATTGGAGCCTCCACCTCGATCATGGTTTTCTCGTGCCTCAGGATGGCGGCGCCGTCGTTGATGATTTTCAGCGCCGCGTCCTCCTCCAGCCTCCCCTCCTTCACCAGGTGGCTCTTGAGGACGTCGAGCCTGGGTTTGCCATCCTCAAACACCTCCTTGAGGGTGAGCCGCTGCGTGGGAGGGAATGGCACAGCTGCAAAGGCAAGGCAAGGCAAGGGGTCAGCTTCTCGTGGAGAGGGAGGGACAGGCTCTGCTTCTTTTAGGAAATTTAACCCACAAACAGCAGAGGTTTGTTGTTGTGGTGTGGTTTTATGGTTTGTAATGGTTTTGTGTTTGTATCCCCTTGTTTTCCCCAAATAATCCCTCTACTTTGCTGAGATCAGGATGTTGAGTGATCACACGGGGTAAATTCCCCAAATATTACCCCATGCACTGCCCTAAATGTCCATTCCCCTGTATCCATCCCTTAAATTCATTTATTGGTTTGTCACCCCGGCATGGGCTCTGCAGGGCGAGCTGAGGCTGTGCCCAGCACCCCAGTGTTGTAGTGGGTTTTTATATTTTGTAATAATCTGTAATAGTTTTGGTTTTCTCTCCCAGATTGTGTCCCCTCCCTCTACCTGTGCAATCCCTCTCCATTGCTGAGATCATCCCCAAATCCCACCCTGGCTCTCTGTCACTCACTCACATCCCATCCCCTCCATCCAGAACCTTCAGTCCAGGAGTGATCAGCCAGGGGTCAACCCCCCAAGTGTTTCTCCATAAATGTCCATTCCCCAGTATCCATCCCTTAAATTCACTTATTGGTTTGTCACCCTAGGATGGGCTCTGCAGAGTGAGCTCAGACCATTCCCAGCACCCCAGTGTTGTGGTGTGTTTTTATACTTTGTAATAATTTGTAATAGTTTTGTTTTGTATTTTTCTCAAATGGTTTACCCCAGATTGTACCCCCTCCCCTTTACCTGTGCAATCCCTCTCCATTGCTGAGATCATCCCCAAATCCCACCCTGGCTCTCTGTCAGTCACTCACATCCCATCCCCTCCATCCAGAACCTTCAGTCCAGGACATTGAGTGATCAGCCAGTCCTAAATGTCCATTCCCCAGTATCCATCCCTTAAATTCATTTATTGGTTTGTCACCCCAGCATGAGCTCTGCAGGTGGAGCTGAGGCCATGCCAGCACCCCAGCGTTGTAGTGTGTTTTTATACTTTGCAATAATTTCTAATAGTTTTGTTCTTCTATCCCATTTTGTGTCCCCTCCCTTTACCTGTGCAATCCCTCTCCTTTGCTGAGATACCCCCAAATCCCCACCCTGGCTCTCTGTCAGTCACTCACATCCCATCCCCTCCATTGAGAATTTTCAGTCCAGGACCTTGAGTGATCAGCCAGGGGTCAACCCCCCAAATATTACCCCATGCACTGTCCTAAATGTCCATTCCAATATCCATCCCTTAAATTCATTTATTGGTTTGTCACCCCAGGATGGGCTCTGCAGGGTGAGCTCAGACCATTCCCAGCACCCCAGTGTTGTGGTGTTTTTATACTTTGTAATAATTTGTAATAGTTTTGCTCTTCTATCCCATTTTGTGTCCCCTCCCTTTACCTGTGCAATCCCTCTCCTTTGCTGAGATACCCCCAAATCCCCACCCTGGCTCTCTGTCAGTCACATCCCATCCCCTCCACCCAGAACTGTCAGTCCAGGACATTGAGTGATCAGCCAGTCCTAAACGTCCATTCCCCAGTATCCATCCCTTAAATTCACATCTTGGTCAATAAAATGTTATCTATTAAATTTCCACCTCCCTTTAAATGTAACCTTGGCCTTGAGGTTGTGGGGGCTCCCCAGAGCTCCTGATTAACTCCTTGGATTAACCCCTGCTACGAGTCCACCCCTTCATCTCCTGCCATTGTTCCAGCATTGCCATGTCCAGGCTTTTTAAACACATCAGAGATGGTGATTCCACCACCTCCTTGGGAAGAGCATCCCAGTGCTTTATTATTCTTTTGGTGAATTTTTTTTCCTAATATCCAACCTATACCTTCCCTGACAAAATCTGAGACTGTGTCCTTTGGAAGTTGTAGAGAGGTCACCTCTAAACCTCCTCTTCTCCAGGCTAAACTCCTTCAAACATCTCAAATTTTTGGAGTTTGCAGCCTCCCTTTTTATCCCATTTTCCAGCCACATTTCCCTTCTCTCTTTCCCCATTTCTGAGGTACTTGAGAGGTTCAGACTCCCCAATACACCTGATCCCAAAGATTCCCCTCTAATGCACAACCTTCTAACCCTCTCTTTTAAGTTTTTAATTCTTATGGAATTTAGGAGTTTTCCCCATTTCTGAGGTACTTGAGAGGTTCAGACTTCTTGGAAGACCTAATACCAAAGATTTCCCTCTAATGCATAACCCTCCCTTTTCATTTTTAATTCTTACATAATTTAGGGGTTTTCCTCCATTTCTGAGGTACTTGAGAGGTTCAGACTCCCCAATACACCTGACACCAAAGATTTCCCTCTAATGCATAACCCTCCCTTTTCATTTTTAATTCTTACATAATTTAGGGGTTTTCCCCATTTCTGAGCTACTTGAGAGGTTCAGACTTCCTGGAACACCTAATACCAAAGATTTCCCTCTAATGTATAATTCTTTTAAAATTCTTATGGAATTTAGGGGTTTTCTCCCATTGCTTCTTTCATCTTTCAATGTCTAATCTCATTTATCAGCAAATCTAAAGTTTATTTGTAAAATAATATTTTTTTCCCATTCATTAATCAGTGGAATCCTTCCTATAGTTTCTTTTATTTCCCAGTGCTGGTTTTATCTACCAGCAGCCCCACAGCTTGTTTGGAAACACAAATCTAGTACTCCTCTCACCCAGAAATGGAATTCCCACTGAAATGATGCTCTCAAACAGTGAGAAAAGAGCTGAGCTGCCAGAGCTGCTGGATTCACCCCTCAGCTTGGTTAATGATTTACAAGAGAGAAATAGAAACCGTTCACCTCCATATTCCCCAGCACTCCAGCATGGCCAGCACGTCTGGAGCCACAGCAAGGGACTGAGAACCCCAAAAGTGGGGATGGAGAGCCCAGCAAAGCTGGGATGTGACCCCAAGACAGCAGAGCCCACCCAGAGATGCACAGGCAGCCCCAGCCCCCTGCCCTTCCCTCATTCCAAGTCCTGGGCTGGCATTTCCACCTTTTTTCCTTCCTTTTTTCCTTCCTTTTGCCCTCTCTATCCCATCCCTAATTCGGTTGGTGCCAGCCCCACATCTTCCCCATTTCCTCCCACAGCACAGCCCTGGCAGCCACAGCCTCCAACACCTCTGGAGCCAGAGCAAGGCAGTGAGAACCCCAAAAGTGGGGTTGGAGAGCTCAGCAAAGCTGGGATGTGACCCCAAGACAGCTCTGCCCACCCAGAGATGCACAGGCAGCCCCAGCCCCCTGCCTTTCCCTCATTCCAAGTCGTGGGCTGGCATTTCCACCTTTTTTCCTTCCTTTTGCCCTCCCTCATCCCAGCTGATCCTGTTGGTGCCAGCCCCACGTCTTCCATCATTTCCTCCCACAGCACAGCCCTGGTACCCACAGCCTCCAACCCCTCTGGAGCCACAACAAGGGACTGAGAACCCCAAAAGTGGGGATGGAGAGCCCAGCAAAGCTGGGATGTGACCCCAAGACAGCTCTGCCCACCCAGAGATGCACAGGCAGCTCCTGGCTTTGCCTTTTCCTGGTAACCCCAGTCTTTCCCTCATTCCAAATCCTGGGCTGGCATTTCCACCTTTTTTCTTTCCTTTTTTCCCTCCCTCATCCCAGCTGATCCTGTTGGTGTCAGCCCCACATCTCCCCTCATTTCCTGCCACAGCACAGCCTCAAGCATGGCCAACCCCTCTGGAGCCAGAGCAAGGCAGTGAGAACCCCAAAAGTGGGGATGGAGAGCTCAGCAAAGCTGGGATGTGACCCCAAGACAGCTCTGCCCACCCAGAGATGCACAGGCAGCCCCAGCCCCCTGCCTTTCCCTCATTCCAAATCCTGGGCTGGCATTTCCACCTTTTTTCCTTCCTTTTGCCCTCCCTCATCCCAGCTGATCCTGTTGGTGCCAGCCCCACATCTCCCCTCATTTCCTGCCACAGCACAGCCTCAAGCATGGCCAACCCCTCTGGAGCCACAGCAAGGCAGTGAGAACCCCCAGAGCTCCTGGCTTTGCCTTTTCCTTCGAGCAAAGTTATGCAAGATCAGATCTGAGGCTTCAGCCAAGAACTTTTATGTAAGTTCCCTCCTTGGCTCTGCACAGCTCCACTCCCACAAGGAGCTGGGCACGACCAGGAACCAACTCCTCCCTGGCTCTGCCAGGGTTTCAGCCACCTCATTTTAATGAACTATCTCAATTTTATCCATCTCGATTTTATCTTTATCCACGCTCCTTTCTCTTGGCCAGGAGGAAGAGATGTTCCCTCTCCAAGAGCAGGAACAGCCCTGAGAGCAACCTGACCTGGAATTTTGTACCTCCAGGGCATTGAGAAGGGTGGAGAGACTCACCCAGATCCTGCTTCTATCTGGAAAACGAGGAGATAAGTCCTTATCCCACCAAAAGAAATCAGAGTTGTGGAATGGCTTGGGATGGAAGGAGATTCCACCACCCCAGGTTGCTCCAAGCCCTTCCAGGGAAATTTCCAGGGATCCAGAGCAGCCAAAACTCCTCTGGGAATTCCATCCCAGCCCCTCCCAGGGAAAAATTCCTTCTCTACATCCACCCTAAATTTCTCCTTTTTCAGCTCAAATCCATTGCTCCTCTCACTGCAACTCCAGGGTTGGCTCTGGAGTGCCCAGGCAATGGGTTAAGCTCATCCTCACAGCCAGCTCCCAAATAATTCATGAAAATTATGGATAAACCACTCCCAACATTCCAAGAATTCAACCCTGTGACCTCTGTGCCACCTTCCCTCTGCACACAAAGCCAGGTGTTGCACCCAGGCTTGTTTGAACGGTGAAATGTGCAGGTGTGGGGTTTGTAAATGCACCAAGGGCACCCAAATCCACGGTCAGGAAAAGAGAATTCCTGCTTTAATAGGAAAAGAGAATTCCTGTTTCACCAGGAAAGAGAATTCCTGTTTCACCAGAAAAGAGAATTCCTGTTTCACCAGGAAAAGAGAATTCCTGCTCTACCAGAAAAGATAATTCCTGCTTTAACAGGAAAAGAGA